TTCGTCTCTGTGTGCCCTGCAATTGGCTGGCAACCGGTTCAGGGTGTCCCCCGCCTACTGCCCGAAGACGGCTGGGATAGGCTCCAGCACCCCCCGCGACCCTGGTGAGGATTAAGCGGTTCGGAAAATGGATGGATGGATAGCTCCATTTATTGTATGTATACTGCAACCGCAACCACTATTGTAGCTTCTATTCTATGCGCCTTATAATGCAGCACACCGTATATATGAAAACATTTTAAAATAGGCCATTCATTGACGGTGCGCTTTCTACTCTAAAGTGCCTTATAGTGCGGGAAATACAGTAACCTAAAACGTATGTTATTGGAATGTGGGAGGATGCCAGATTAAGCTACTGCAACAAAAGCAATCAGACTCTGGACTAATTGCCAGTTATGACAAGGGTTGACAAACCCAGACCATCCATACTCACATTTCCATTATTGGACCTAGCATAGGCGTTTTGCGGCTGTGACTGTTATTTATTTAGTCTGAGCTGTTGAATGAGTCAGTCCAGTTTCTATTTTTCAATGAACATAAAGATTTGATAGCATTTAGCAATTTAAAAAAAAAAACTTTGAATATTATTTACTAAGTGCTTTCGCAACAGCTGCAGCTATAACGACTTGTATAAGTGTGTAGTTATAAGTGTGTGTGTGTGGGGGCAGGCGCGGGGGGGGGGGTTATAAGACACAGGGGGCTGTTGATGCCATCCATCCATTTTCAGATCCGCTTATCCTCACTACACTTACATGTTTTTTTGTATCCTGAACACGTACCACCGGTATATATATTCCGTTACTAGCCAAGCCTGCTAACTGCAATTCTAAACCTTACCACATATTTCATCCATCCATCCATTTTCTGATCCGCTTTATCCTCACAAGGGTCACGGTGGGTCCTGGAACCTATCCCAAAACCGGTTGCCAGCCAATCGCAGAGCACACAGAGACGAACAACCATCCGCACTCAGACTCACACCTAGGGACAATTTCGAGTGTTCAATCAGCCTGCCATGCAAGTTTTTGGAATGTGGGAGGAAACCGGAGTACTCGGAGAAAACCCATGCAGGCCCAGGGAGAACATGCAAACTACACTGGGAGGCAGGAGCTGGAATTGAACCCGGTACCTCTGCACTGTGAGGTTGACGCGCTAACCACTGGACCACCAGGGGGCTGCCTGCTGTTGATGCCCCCAAATATATTCGCAAGGCAGCGTCTCAGAATAGAGGCACAGAGAGCAGCCCACCCCTACCCCCTTGCCGGGCTCACCCAGGATCTTGCTGATGGAGGAGTTGTGCATATCAGGAAAGGCCTGCAGGATTCTCCTCCGCTCATCCTTGGCCCAAACCATGAAGGCATTCATGGGTCTCTTGATGTGACCTGAGGAAGGAGCGGGGCGGGCTTCAGAGTAACTGCTGGAGACCTGCAGGGTACCTACAAGGCAGAGAGATCAAGTTAATCCAGGAATAGAAAAACACCAAATATTTCTGTTCATCGATAGCGTTCAGTGGAAGAGTGGGTGTCGTGAAGGATGCATGCTTGCTTTGGTCACAATAGTGGATAAATGCAGGCCTATCCCAGTCGACTTTGGTAAAACGGCATATGACGCCCAAGAGTGGTCACCCGTCAATCATAGGGCAGATTAAGACAGACAGCTCTTGACACGTCACTGAGTGGGAACTAAACCAATGCGGCCTGCACGAAATGGTGACTAGTGCTGAACCTGCTTGATACAAATAAACGATGTACTTTTAGCCCAAATTGTTGTGTCACTAAACTAAACTATGAACATTTGAAATCAAGCCTATATTTTTTTGTATGAATGGTGACAAAAGGTGGAAGCTGCCAGGAGTATCTAATTATGGGGTGAAAAATATTTATTATATGTCTGGAATTGTTTGGTCATTAGCGCACAATGTTGTCATGGACAAAGTTACCATTCTTGTTCATCCGCAAACACAGTATGACTTCTACTAGTGTTTGAGTCATCCTGGTTGGGTTACACTTACTCTCAGAGTCACTGCTTAGGTGGTCGTCGGCGGACAGCGTTGTGTGTCGGTCGTCACCTTGCTCGGAATGAACACTTCTGTCACCACAAGGAGGATATCTGCACTCCTGCAGAAAAAAAAAGAAACATTCAAAGTCATCAACTTGAATTGTGATTGGAATGAATAGGTGAGATGCTCTATTAGGGCGTTGCCCAGAGAGCTATTTTGAAACAGACTTTACAGACATGGAACAAACACTACATCAGCTGCTGTTCAAAATAAGAGCTGTAAGTGCGAAGAAAGAAAATGATGACACAATAGAGGACAAAGAAATGGTGTTTATTGTCTGAGGGTGAAGGAGACAAGGGCAGCCAGAATGTAACAGTCGAAAATGGCAAAGCTGCTGATGACATGCCACCTTTCATTGACGATTTAACATTTAGAGGCAGGGTGAAGCCGGCTCATTTAGAGGAAGAGAGGAAGACTACAATATTACAGTACACAAAAAAGCAGGCAGGTGGCTACGTCAATGCCACACTGAGGCCTTTTGTGGTATTGTGTGGCCACAACAGCTGTGGCTTTAGTGCCAGACTGAGACCAACACATCAGCCGCCTCAAAGGATGAACACCAAAGACTAGAACAGAATTTTATTTTCACAATACACAGGCCACATGTGGGCTTCAAATAGAGGTTTGGTGATGTAAAATGGGCTGGTTAGACACTCGATGAATGTGTTAAAAACAATAGTTATAATCGAATAAGAAATCACTCCGACAAAGATTTTAAAAGTGGACATTGAAACCAGCTGACTACGATGTGGTTTTTATTTGCAAAACCTTATCTGCCGTGCTGACCTCCAATAACTGTGTCACCAAATAGTGAAATCATAGCAGTAAGACATCGGGTAGGTTTCATATCTTTCAACAGCAAAGTTGCAAGCACCTCGCTCTTCGATGTTTCAATCGGACCCACAAGTTGTTCTCACAACTCCAAAACAGAAGTGTCTCGTTTTAAATGCACATCAAAGAGCAAGGGTGGAGCACTGAAAAGATCTCATGCAGGAATTCTAACCAGGAATGCACTGAGAATTCCTTTGCGGAAATCTTCTACCTCCTTGACAGTGATGTGTAACAATGTGCATTTTTACGAGCTGGATTGTACTGAAATCTTTTGTTGATTGTCAATAGATGGATCAGTCATTCACTCTCTATAGCAGTTCTCCTCATGAGGGTCGCAGGTGAGCTGGAGCCAATCCCAGCTGAGTTTGGGCAAGAGACGGGGATACATCTTGAACGAGCCAATCGCAGGGCACATTTGGACAGACAACCATTCACAATCACATTCACACCGAAAGGCACTTTGAAGCTGAAAAAGCCAGAGAAAACTGTGCGTCATGTGGCCCTTTCCATCTCCTACGGCCCAAAGAAAAAGAGTGTGATAGTTTTGTATTTGGAGATTTGCTGACCACTTTTCTGCTGCTTTCTCGGTCTGTTTCTTTTTCTCTCTCTCTCTCTTGGCCTCCAGCGTTGTGACTCCTCAGTAGTTGCTGGGCATCATGAATGGCTTGGGTGACAACATCACTGTCTCTGAGTAAAGCTTTGGCACCAAACAAAGAGAGAGACAGAGAGAATGTTTGAGTGAGAAAATACAAGTTCCAGGGGGTGGTCAAGGAAAAGAGTTTAGAATATGAATTGAGCTGCAAAATCCATTCATTTTGTTCTATCTCGGTTTATAATACCCTTTGGATGATATTTTTGTTTAGTTTTTTTTTAAAATAAAATTCAAGAAATAAAACAACAGCTATCAGCCTAGAAAAAAAACAACTTAACAGTTACTTAGGTCGACTGGATAAGACCATTAGGGATGTCAAAAAACAGGCCCAAAACAAAGGCTCAGGCATCCTTTTGTCCTGTAATCAACTGAAAAAATAGCAATAAGCAAGACATTAGGACAGTAAGAAGGGAAGTGGTGGAGAGACGCATAACAAAATTATAATATGTGAAATAATATACTGTATTTTGGGGGATTTAGTTTGGGGTGGCACAGCATTTATTTGACGGGGCCAGGCCCCTTCTTGCCCCTTCCTAGACCCAGCCCCGCCCCTCTGGAGTCAGATATAAAAATAGGAATCCAAAATAGAACATAAGCCTGTGTTTCAATTTTGACCTCCATTGAAACATTTGTTTCGAATCAGGTCAAAATTGAATTTTTGAACATTTATTTTTAATTATGTTTCAATCAATTCCACACCATTCAACAATGTGAAAGCAAGAAGAAAATGAATATTAATATAAGGTCGAGTTTATTGTTGCTGAGTGGTGATTGTTTTTTTTTTGTTTATAAAATTAATATAATAACTATATTCAATGTTATAAAGGCCCAATTAAAAACCTTTCTCTAAAATGTTTCTATTAACTTCTTGCCTAGGCAAACTCAGCTATTTTAATGATGAAATCATTCATATTTATAGGACTGAAGAGAAAATCAATGTAAAGCTCGGACCATAGAGCGAAATTGAACATAATTTCATGTAACCATTCAGAATTTTTTTTGTTTTTAACACTTCACAAGCAAAAAACGGCCAGCAGGGGGCAGACGTGCCCCATTTGCCGACCATGACCATACGTCCTGGGAACAAAGTGCGTTTTTTGTCTCTTCATAAGGCAAATCAAGTCAAGGTGTTGTTTCGCACCTTTTCAAGAATCAAACTATGTACATGTCTGTTCAATAAACACAGCGATGAACAGCAACGAAAATGACACCACTGATGAAAATGTCAAGTTGAAATCTATTCGAGATACATTTTTAATTATTTTTAAATCAATTCCACACAATTCAAAAATGTAAAACAAAAAAAAAATTAAAATTAAAATAAGGTCGAGTTTATTGTTGCTGAGTGGTGATTGTTTTTTTTTTGTTTATAAAATTAATATAATAACTATATTCAATGTTATAAAGGCCCAATTAAAAACCTTTCTCTAAAATGTTTCTATTAACTTCTTGCCTAGGCAAACTCAGCTATTTTAATGATGAAATCATTCATATTTATAGGACTGAAGAGAAAATCAATGTAAAGCTCGGACCATAGAGCGAAATTGAACATAATTTCATGTAACCATTCAGAATTTTTTTTGTTTTTAACACTTCACAAGCAAAAAACGGCCAGCAGGGGGCAGACGTGCCCCATTTGCCGACCATGACCATACGTCCTGGGAACAAAGTGCTTTTTTTGTCTCTTCATAAGGCAAATCAAGTCAAGGTGTTGTTTCGCACCTTTTCAAGAATCAAACTATGTACATGTCTGTTCAATAAACACAGCGATGAACAGCAACGAAAATGACACCACTGATGAAAATGTCAAGTTGAAATCTATTCGAGATACAAATGAAGCTTGACTGATTATTTCATCGTGTCATCGCAGAACGTCTGTAAGTCATGACTCACTGAGGGCAGACCGTTGGGGGCTGTGTGATGCGTCCTTTGACACATCTCTGTGCCTGCAGGTGCTCTGCACCCCGAGCGATCCCATCTCCATGCATTTTGGACTGGGGGCTTTCCCAGGCTTGGACGTCAGGTTCAATGGCTGACCGGCCTCCTAAACACGGAGTGAGAGCAGCTAAGTGCATTGAGTCAATAGTGAGAATCTATTCAAGGGCTGTCAGAAATCTTCCAAGACTGGTATCTGTCATCAATGATTTTTGTTTCAAAACGAAATCATGAGTTTTCCACTTGGGTCAGATAATCAACCGGCATGCCTACAAAGAAATCCTGCGTTGTACGCTTTGCTCAATGCATGAGATGTGGCGAGATTTATGGCCAGAGGACACATGGCTGCTTCACAGTAACAATGCTCAGAGGATCCTGAGCACCCCACAGTTCTTGGCCAAGAAGAACATGACAGTGCTGGAGTTCTCATGTGATTTTTTTTGTTCCTCTTTCCAAGTATCAAAGGGGTCATGTAGCAGACCCATTTTGAAGACGTAGACAAAATCAAAACGGGAGGGACGATGGACCTGCAAAGGATCTCAAAAGAATCCTGAAGAATCCATGAAGGCGTGGCAGGGAAGGCTGGCAAAGTGTGTTAGACTCCAGGGGGGATTACGTCCAACAGAAAAACTGGTTGTTTGGATTTTTTTTAATACATTTTCACCGGTCTTGGAACTTTTCAAACACACCTTGTATGCAATCTATGCATGCTACGTGTCAATCAGGCATGTCTGAACGTATCTGTCACACCCAGTGTCGTATCTTTCTTTTCTCTGTGTATACTTCTCTTTTGTTTAATGAGCTCTGGTAATCGGTCTCTAGCTTGAAAACCTGCCATCCCTACACACGCACTTACACAAAGGAACAAGAGACGCAAGCCTTTGAAAACAGGGTGTGTTCTGTTGGAGAATGTCTATAGTTGTTGTATACTGAACAGGAGGATCAGTTAGTCTGGAGGTACAGTCTAATAACACTGGTTTTTAATAGTACACTAACACTGTCACTCATAGCTTCTTTGAATATTGCATGTCTGAATATCTAAAGATGATAACAAAACAATAATTACCTTTGATGATTTGAGCATAATTGAAAGGAACAGAAACAGCAACAATTTGGACGTGATACCTGTCGGATGGAACCACCGCTCCTCTTAACAGTCGTGGACAGCAGCTGCATGGGATAGTCCATAGCTGGAAAAGACATTTTTTTTTTACTTGAGTACATAAATATATGATCATATACACCATTGTTATTCATTCATCAATCCATTTTCTAAACCATCTATAATAGCCCTCGCAGTTTTGGGGGGGCTGGACATATCTTTTATTGCATAGACTCACCTGGCTTGCATGGGATTGGCTGCAATGGCAAGCTTATCGGTGGGTCAGACGGGACTGAAAGATTTTGGGCACTGGGGTGGAAAGCGGGGATCATCACGTAGGGCATGTTTACCTGCTGGGGCAAAGGTAGGACAAATCCAATTGACATTAGAAACGTGACAAGAAGTCTGGATGGAATGGGCACTGAACACAATGCACCAGCAATTTTGAAAATAGGAAGATGGGTTAGAGAGAAATGTTGCTTTTTGTGTGTGTGGGTGGGAATGCTTTTGCAATATAATGTGAAAGGACCTAATTAGCATAGACTATGCCTGAATAAAGGATTGATTTAATCTTTTTTTTGTATTTGAAGTTTCAAATGGCTAATTAATAATCCCAGCTAAAATAATCATATTTGGACATAATGTTTAAATACCGGTACATAATTTAATTAGAAAAATATAGATATGTTTGTATTGGTTGCCATGATCAGAGCGATTATGTAATCAAGTGCTTTCACAATCTGCGATTGGCTGGCAACCAGTTCAGGGTTTACCCTGCCGACTGTCCAGACACAGCTGGGATGGGCTCGAGCACGCCTGCAACCATTGTCAGGATAAACTGGTTGGGAAGGGATGGTTGGATGGATGGATGGATTTCACAAGGCCATTTCACAGAATCTACTTGATGGATGCAGCTGAAATTTAGTATGCACTGACTTAAAACTAGTGTTTGCGTTCATGAAGTTTGGTGCAATACAGTTAATTCTACTTGATGCAGCAGATACCCGAAGTTGAATTGAAAGTGTTTTATTAACATTGACTAACCCTTGCCTGGAGATTAGGTACAGTGGACTCACTCTATTTGCAGGGAATAGTGACTGAGCTGTGAATAATTGTCGCCCATGATAAAGCCATCCGAGACAAAAAAAAAGGGGGGGGGGTTGTTTGTTTTTTAATTAAAGGTAGAATAGAAAGATAGAGACGGATGGAGAAATGGACAGACAGACCGACACATCCGGGGGTACATCTCACACACACACACACACACACACACACACACACACACACACACAAAAAAAAAAAAAACTTTGAGAACCACTGTTCTACTTCATGGATTAAAATTATTGGGGGTATTTTTTGGGCTTGTTTATTTACCCCCACCACCAAACACGCAGGAGACACGCTGTGCGTGGTTCTATCACTCGTCAGCAAAACAGGCATCCGTCATTGACGGACTGATGGACCTTCCATCAATATTGCCGGAATGCATGCTGAGGGTTGAAGGCAAAGCCATTTTTTGCTCTACTGTATTTAACTTCCCCCGAGGGCGTAGCAATGGAGTACAAGTGCATAGGGTGCTGCCAGTCGCATCTGCTTATGACAACACTGGTTTTTACCTTCAGTTACGAGCATTAAAAGTCAATGATGCTTGACTTTTTTGATATTAGCAGGTGCTATGAGCTTCAGGGAATACATCAATTCATCCATTTTTCTGATCCGCTTGTCCTCACAAGGGCCATGGGGGATGCTGGAGCCTATTCCAGCCGTCTTCAGGCAGTACGTGGGGGACACCCTGAACAGCCAATCGCAGGGCATACAGAGACGAACAACCATCCGCACTCACACTTAGGGACAATTTAGAGTGTTCAATCAGCCAGCCATGCATATTTTTGGAATGTGGGAGGAAACCGGAGTACCCGGAGAAAACCCATGCAGAGAACATACAAACTCCACACAGCGAGGCTGGATATGGAATTGAACCCGGTCCCTCTGCACTGTGAGTTCGATGCACTAACCACTGGACCAGTGGGCCGCCCTCAGGGAATACAGAGTTCCCTAATTTTTCGTGTGTGATACGTGTTGTTGTCCATACGTCCACTGCTAAATTTGTCTGCTATTGCGGGATCCCCGTATTCGATTAGCTTACAGCTTGTCAGCTAAAATATTGTCAAATAAGCTGATATGGGCCAAAATGTGAGGTGTCCTCCAAATGGACTCCTTAAAATTACCATGATTTTTAAAATGCATCACTTGCCCTAAAGCAAAATTGACAAAAAGAGTTCAAATTGAACATTAGATTGAGAAGAGCAATGTGCGCAGTAGAATAGGTCATGTACTTCAGTCAAAAATTGTTTTTTCATGAATTCATTTGTTATGGAAACTTTTTGAGGTATTTGAAGTGATCAACCCATTGTTTTGAGAAAATTCCCACAAGATGGCGGCCATTTGTCACATTTCTACTCATAAGACAGGCCTTCATTTTGAGAGAGAGAGAGAGAGAGAGAGAGAGAGAGAGAGAGAGAGAGAGAGAGAGAGAGAGAGAGAGACAGAGAGAGAGAGAGAGAGAGACAGAGGGAGAGCGTGCGCACGAGCATGTGTATTGTAGCTGACCTGAATCTGCTGCTGAAGAAGGTTGATCTTGTGCTGCTGCTGGATCAGCTGCTGCTGTTGTTTAGCAATCTGAGACACAATACATGTGATTGTTACACGCGCATAAACACACATATCGCATTGTATGTGTCACACAGTGACTGCTGTGCACAATGTGAGCAGGCTCAGGATCTTAATCGGGTGCTCAAACTGCGGCAATGCACTTGCGCTGCCATGAGTATACTTACATCCAAAAGTACTGGGACAGTGAGGCGAATTATTATTATTATTATTATTTTTTTTTGCTGTCAACTGAAAACAACGGAGTTTGATATCAAAAGATGAACAGCAAACAAGAAATTAATAGTTCAACTTATTTTACAAGTATTTAAATATGAAATTTGATCCACAACTTAACAAGATTGTCATTTTGACCTTTGTTGTTTTGACCTTTGGTTGAAGCCACCCCTTTCCCATGTCAGCAAACATAAATATGGCACATATGTCACCTTCGCTCTCACTTCTGTGCTCAGGCTGGAGCACACACCATTGACGATCATTTGGTTTGAGTTGTATCCTACCTGCTCTTGCTGTTGCCGGGCCAGCTCCATTTGCTGTTGCTGTTTTTCTAGAAGCAAGGCAGCCATGTTCCTCTGCTCGGAGTGGGCACCCAGGAGCTGTTCCCGTAGTCCACTCAGTTGGTTGATCATCATCAACAACTGGAGCTCCTTCTCCGCCAGAGACTCTGGGTTCCCTGGTGGTTGATAAAAGAAGAAAAATGACATAAATTACACAGTGGAATGACTTTCCAAGTAAACCTATCCATATCGTACTGTATTCATTCTTTTTGTTTTGGGTCACAGGCAAGTGACAACTAATTGCAGATTGATTTGTGAGAGGCAGGGTATATCCAGGAACTATCACTAGTCAATCACAGGACTGACACACTGAGACAGACAACGATTCATAATCACATTGACACTTACTGATTAATTAGATCTAGGGATGGGTATCGTTATGCTTTTAATGATACTACTTCTTTTGACAACACGGCTTATCGAGCCCGTACTTAAACAGTATTCTTATCGGTACATTTTATGTATAGCAAAACAACATAATAAAAACATTCGAATTAGCACTGCTTTTGTTCCACTGGGATTGCCAAATCGGCATAACTTCTTTCTTAATTCATGATTTAGCTTCTGCCTTTCCTATTCACAAATGAATATTATTAGCATTCTTTTTCAGTGCACACTTTGCATAAAAATGTATTAATTCCTTTCCCATAAATCCAACATGGCAGGAACCCAAATACATGTATAGATCTGTGATGTGAAATAACATCATCAATATTTCATGTGTAAGACATTGTCCCCTTGCTCAACCAGTCTACATGTGCTTTGTGGACTTGGAGAAGGCATTTGCCCGTGTCCCTCGGGGAGTTCTGTGGGAGATGATGCGGGAGGATGGGGTACTGAACACCCTGATACGGGCTGTTCGGTCACTATACCACCGATGTCAGAGTTTGGTTCACATTGCCGGCAGTAAGTGGGAATCCTTTCCAGTGAAGATAGGACTCTGCCAACGTTGCCCTTTGTCGCCGATTCTGTTCATAACCTTTATGGACAGAATTTGTAGGCGCGGCCGAAGCATTGAGGGGGTCCGTTTTGGTGACCTCAGTATTGCATCTCTGCTCTTTGCCCATGATGTGGTACTGTTAGCTCCTTCAAGCAGGGCTCTCCAACTCTCACTGGAGCTTTTCCCAGCCAAGTATGAAGCGATTGGGATGAAAATCAGTACCTCCAAATCTGAAACAATGGTCCTCAGTTGGAAAAGGGTAGAGTGCCCTCTCTGGGTCGGGGAGGAGATCTTGCCCCAAGTGGAGGAGTTTAAGTTTCTTGGGGTCTTGTTCACCAGTGAGGGCAGGATCGAGTGTGAGATTGACAGGCGGATCGCTGCAGTGTCTGCTGTGATGCAGACTTTGTATCAGTCTGTTGTGGTGAAGAAGGAGCTGAGCCAAAAGGCGAAACTCTCAATTTACCGGTCGATCTACATTCCAACCCTCACCTATGGCCACGAGCTAAGGGACAAGATCCCGTGGCTCGGGAATCTAATTAGGATGCCTCCTGGACACCGCTCTGGTGAGGTGTTCCGAGAATGTCCCACCAGCAGGAGGCCCCGGGGACGACCCAGGACGCGCTGGAGCGACTATGTCACCCAGCTGGCCTGGGAATGCCTCGGGATTCCCTGGGAAGAGCTGAAAGAAGTGGCTGGGGAGAGGGAAGTCTGGGCTTCCCTGCTAAAGCTGCTGCCCCCACGACCTGACTCTGGATAAGTGGTAGAAAATGGATGAATGGAGGGATGGACCTTGTCCAGAAAGTAATCCGGAAATGCAAAATGAAGCCAACTGACACGACGAGTGTGCACTCGTTAGCCGCCTTAGCATGTTGGCCAAGTATCCGCTTCTGTGTGTACAGTTCATATGTCATTAAGGTGTATTTTTTTTTAACCACATGAACACACCAGGAAGTTTGTGGTGACATCTCCAGGCTTCTCTCTTTGCTTTCACCCTTATCCGGTGCCCATTCATCCTTTATATCATAATTTATCTCTGGAATTATGACCATCTTTGTGACGCTACATTTTTAACAACCCACAGTCAGGTCAGATAACAACTAACTTTAGATGTAGGTCAAATTCACTTTTTAGAACGCCTGTGAGGCAGAGTGAAATGTAAAATTGAAAGTGCCAGTGCTGTTGTATTGTACATCATCACTCATGAACTTGTGTCTGTCTAATCAGATTGCTTACTAGGAACTAAGTGTGGTACAAAGTGAATTAAAGATCCATTGAAGGGTTTGGACCGACCTTCCTTGGCCTGCACTTTTGGTGGATCCTGCAGCTTTGTCTCTTTGAGCGTCACTTGGCTTTGTTTGTGTGGCAACTCTTTACCTGGAGAATCCTCCTGACAAGAAACACACACATCTTCAACAAAACGTTAAATGCAGTCATTTCGATTTGGCTAAACTACAGTGCATAAATAAACTTGTCTCCAAGTTTTAAAATAATTTCCCTTGTGTGTTAGTCAGACATCCTGTCCCCGATGGTGCTTCGTCCAGAGGCTAAATACTCCGAATTTGTCATTGGAACAGTCCAGCCCTAGTGGGTGTGACTGACATATGCCATTTTTATAGCTTGGTTTACAAATGAGTGTGCTCCACAATTTCTCCCTAGCAACAAGTGGCTGTGTACATAGTTCATGGGAAATTGGTTAAAAAAAAAAAAAACTGAGCAAATCTGTCTGCTCAACGCTGAACATTATAAGCTGTGTTTTTAAATTCATGAGTACAAATTCATTTGTTTAATTTCCAAACACTGGCATATAAACAGACACTTTAAAAAGCATACCAAACAGTAAGACACAATAATGAATACATGCATTTTACAGTATGTCAGAAATATGGTTGATATAGACCAGCAAATGCATTCTAGCTTGTATTTGGTGCGCTCTTACCAAAGGTGAACAGGAGAGAGGTGGTGTAAGCTGACGAGCCACCAGTGGCTGATTCCCTACCCAGTCGCGAGAGGGAGACATCTTGAGAGTAGGTTCAGCGTTGTTGATGAGTCCAGATCCTCGACTCATGTCCTCCTGTTCTAATTTGACACCAACACATGTCATGCTGCCATCCACATTGGAGAGGAGGTGCATCGCCGGAGGGCTGGGCTCAACCATTCCTTTGAGACAACACATATAATTATCTGTCACTGGGTGTGAATAAGCTTATGATTCATTTGAACTTTGATGCTTGATGTCTTTAAAGTAAATTGATAACATCATGACAAGCAGATTTTACACCTGGGAACGTTTCACCAATTGAATGCACTGGTAATTGTTTGTATTCAATTCTGTATCAGTTTCAGATCTACTGACAGTCAAGCTACTAGAAGCATGTGTGTTTGTATGCACACCACTATTGTAACTCATCGCTGAAGTCAAGGTTAAGGGTTAATTGGCGGTTTTGTTACCAAATCCTGAAAGCCTATTGTTTGCATGGTTGAGTAATATGAGACAAAACGGAACAGAACACACCTCAGTGTGTGGGGGTTGCAACCAAAGACCGAGTGAGAAAATTTGAACCACAGTGACTGAGAAAGTGTGTCCGTTTGTGTCTATATGTTTATATTTCCCAGTTCTGCAGCCGGGTGAAAGAAAGGCACAGTAGATAGCAGAACAACGACAACAAAAGAAAAAAAGAGAACACACACACAAGGGCAAAAAGTGCACAGATATATAAAGAGGCAGAAAAAAAGCCATTGTTTGAGCTGTGGAACAAAGGAAGCAAGGACAATGGGGAGAGACTGACAAAAGCCGGCGGCCGTAGGAAACGGGCCGGATAACAATGCCAGCGGAATGTGCCGACCAACTCGGGAACACAGCAAAAAAAAAAAAAAAAAAATGTCAAGCGTCGCCATTCTGCAGAAACATAATGATGATTAGAGCCCCTCCTTCATCGAACCTGCACTGTGATTTCGAACAAAGCCACCTGTCTGCCACGGTCCGGGGTTTCACACCTGCGTGTGTGTATGCGTGTGTGCCTATGCTGATGCTTACGTGTGTTGGAGAGTATGCATTTCAGTCTGGTATAAATATACAGTAACCCTTCTCTGTTAACATGATTTGAACTAAACGAGCACATGGAGGATATCACATGTACTGAACATTACTCTGACTTGATTCAGTTGAACTTTTATTGAGGGAAGCCAATTGCTGCATTTCTTTGTCTCTTCCAGTCTCCGGCTGAATGAATCTTTCTTCACAAGTTATTTCCTTGGCAAGGAACAGGATACACAAAATGACTTTTGTATCCATGTTGTTCTTGTTTCATGAAATATACTGTGATGTTTTGCGACTGAGCCTCAGCGCCGGCACATGAGCATGTCACCGTCATTCTCACACATGGTTGTAAATTGTCATCTGTGAGGCAATGTTTGTTTTTAATATAGTTCACGATGGGCATAGCATTCAACTTTTTGCTTTCTGAAGAAACTTTTCTTGGATTTATCCACGCTTTCACCTACGGTTGTCAAATAGCTCAATAAATCTAGACAGCTGGTGACACACTTCGGAGCTTGCGATGCATATGCGCGACAAATAAACCTGAGGGAAAAAAAATTATCACAAGAGTACTATTATCATCAAATTTCTAATTAACTTTGAAAAACAAAGTAATTTAAAATGAAATCCAGTAGAACTCCTCGACAACGCAATCATGTTTGCACCCAGAAATTTTTCACAACAGGAGACTTTTCACAACAGCAAATTTTATCTTAGACATAAACACAAACGCTCACACCAAAAGTATAAGTGTACTCTTTATTTTTATTCCAATAGTGCATAAGTATGAGCATACACTTATTTGACACTTCATATAGCCAGCGTAGAAAGAAAAAAAAAAAGTTTCAAAAAAATTACGACCAGCATTCAATTTCACTTACATCAATTTCTTGCATAATGTCTTCTACTTTGCTTCCTCCATCTTTCATCTTTATTACTTTTATCCTGTCTTCAAGTTTTAAAGATTTTCTTTTGTTAACTCCTTGTGAAAGCCTTGGTCTGCAAAGGCCCATTTTTTAGCCATTTTATACCAAGCAATGCAACGTTCGTGCTGTGTCTGAAACTACTCGTGACATTTCTAACCACGTGCTAACAATAACAAATACTTCCTGTACTACTGCATGTGTAAACCAGTGTGGTTGTTGCTGTTGCCGTTTCCTAGCGAAGCAGTAGCAGTGGCTGTGGCAGGCTGAGGTTGGATTAGATTTTTGTGGTAGGCTTGTTTTCGTTGTAGTGAACCTCGTTGTGAGGCAAGGGCGGAGAAAAGGATTTCGTATTATGCAACAGGGGGACTTTTCATTGTAGGGGGAAGCAGAAAAGACGGAATGGCTTTAATGCATGAAGATTGTTTCACACTAGATAGGTATTTTCGCACATGTAGGTTTAGTTGTAGAGGAGTTTCACTGCAGCCCATTTATTTTCTAAAGCCGCAGAGAGCCACGGCAGATGGATGAAAGAGCCTCGGGTTGAGGACAATATTAATATCGGAGGACAGGTAAAGTCGATGGGACTGAGGAGGGAAGGTCACAAAACATTGCTGACCTGCACCCTTCCTCACCATAAGCTTCCCGGGAATCAAACCGGTCCGCACCTGAGAGCATGTGGGAGAGAAGGTGGGGTGTGCTTGAGTGAAGCAGGGGGCCACAGCACAAGAGCAAAGTCCACCTGATACTTGTGCCCTTTTAGCTTCATAAAGTTTTTTTTTTCAAACCTTTTCACATGACTAGTGTTTGTTATAACTTTGTGTAAGGTAGAAAAAGAGTTTTATTCCATCTCATTTAATTACTGGCCAACAAAAGCCTTACGTCGGACGACCAACAGTGGCTCAGCAGTTATCCACTTAACCCCGGGAAAGCTTATTTGGCCAACAAAGTTTCGAGCAGCGAGGACTGCGCCTTCTCTCTCCCCGCATTACGATTGTAATCCTGCAAAATAATCCACATTTTTAGTAAATGTACATGTAATCTGATTAGGTGGTTCTTTTCTGTAACTGTGACAGAATACAGTTATTTTTTTTGGATCCTGAACATGTACCACCGGTATATGTATTCCATTACTAGCCAAGCCTGCTCACTGCAATTCTAAACCATACCACATACTTCATCCATCCATCCATTGTCCGATCCGATTTATCCTCATAAGGGTCGCGGGGGATGCTGGAACCTATCCCAGATGTCTTTGGGCAGTAGGCGGGGGACACCCTGAACCGATTGCCAGCCAATCGCAAGGCACACAGAGACGAACAACCATCTGCGCTGACACTCACACCTAGGGATAATTTTGTGTGTTCAATCAGCCTGCCATGCATGTCTTTGGAATGTGGGAGGAAACCGGAGTACCCGTAGAAAACCCACGCAGGCACGGGAGAACATGCAAACTCCACGCGGGAAGGCCGGAGCCGGGATCGAACCCACGACCTCTGCACTGTGAGGTCGACACGCTAACCACTCACCCACCAGACCACACACACATATTTCATTGTTTCACCTTTATTCTGTGAGGTATATTACGACGTTTCTTCAAAAATCCAGTAATTGTTCCAAACCTTTAAAATCCCCATCAAAGTATGAATGTCTGTGCATGTTTTGAACCTGAACCACAAAATCGTTCAAGCAACAAAAGACCGGGAAAAAAAAGCACTTTGAATTAATTACAGCACTTTTACATGATTTATACACCTGTCCGTCTACTGTCATTTTAAGGAGTGAGAAACCAAAAAACAGTGTTTAGCTCAGACATGCACAACAGCCTCCGGTGCTTGAGCTGAGGTATTGATTGTTTGATGTGGTGAGGGGAGTGGTAACACCCGTGTGTTTTGTCCCACGCTGAAAATTATCCCTTGGGTCTCCCATTCAATTTCACAAAGTCTGAAGAGTACAACTGTCACAGGTGGTGTTCACACGCTCCCTTGAGAGACTGCGCCTGCGTGTCATCCAATGCAATGGTATGCGCACAATTTCAGTGACCTACTGAGTTGTTGACAGCGAGGAATGTGTCAATGTGAATTCGTTAAACAATGTCGTCAACTGCAACAATGTAAGCCCAAGTTACTTCCACACTGGGTCTCTTTTGTTTCAAACCTATACAGTAGCCTACTTGGCCGATCTGCAGCTGACTGCGCCAGAGTGGAACCTGATCTCGACTGAGCATGTCGATGCACAGTGTGTGTGTGTGTGACAGTATAAGAATAGCATTGCCATCTTGCGCCTCACATTTTACTGAACCTAATTCGCTGACCACCTGCAATGTTTTACAGTTTTCACCACAGGCAGAAATCTCACACTATCACAAAAAAAAAAGGTTACTTCCAAAAATTACTCTGAGCAGGGCCTTACAACACGGAGAGAAAATATAAGTACAATATATAAAGCAAATTACACTCACGAGTCCATTGACGATGAACTGCCAGAACAGGTTTACATTCACTGCAAATGAGACCATGACAGATTGAGCAATGCCTGCCATGTTTTGTTTTGTTTTTTGTTTTTTTTTTAACTAAAGGACAGTTAGGACTGCAAATTCATTGTTGTCATATACTAAAACTTCTTTTCTAAGTTGTTACGTTGTGTAAAACATGAAACTAATTTGAATAACAAAAACAAAGCCAAAACCCCCCCAAAACAATAACATTTATCAGTTTAAAGAACACTTAATATAGTCGTGATCGTGTAATCAATTGAATATCGGTTGAAAGGGATTTGCAAATCATTGGAATGACTTTATTTCTGCTGTACGCAAAATCCCAACTGAATTGGAATCGGATTTGGATTTGTATGCCAGGGATTTCCATTGTCCCCTTTCCTGCAACTACAGAGGAAACCTAATCTCAGGGATGCAAGCACTGATTACATGTTCACATTTGTGTCTGAGGGGAACTTGGGTCTAATTCTTATCAAGAGAGCTCATTTGGGTCATGGCTATGTTCTGAAAATCCTCTTTGAGAGAACATATCCTCTCTCTCCACCTTGTTTGAATCAATTCTTCGATCACTGTGCACAAGTGACGGACGGCTTCATTGTTTTTAGAGAAATGATGAAGGCTCGAGCAGCGACTGATGCGAGGTCCCTGTATTGTCTCTGTACAAATTCTTCCTCTTATTATGATCAACATTATTATTATT